AAAAAGAAACAAATTCAGCATGGTGGTGCATTCCTGTAAATCCCAGTATACAAGAGGCTGAGGCAGGAGGATTGACAAGTTTGAGACTAGCCTGTGCTACATAGTGAGCTTAAAGCTAGCCTGAATTCAGAGGAAGACTATATCTGGGGCGGGGGGAGAGGGAGGGATGGAGAGAAGGAGAGAGGAGAGAGAGGGAGGGAGAGAAGGAGAGAATGAGAAAAGCTTTCCTGATCCATTAAATTGAGGCCTGAATATGTATACAATAAAAGTCAAAACTGATAGTTGGTTTTTTTTTTTTTTCCCCTTCAAGTGAATTATGGAGTTGGCCCAGATCATTTATTAAAACTGTCACCTTTTCCAGATAGTACTGTATTGCCATGTAGGTTGAAAATCAAGTGACTTTACATGTGTAAGAGTCCAAAAATATATTTATGCATGTTTGATCTGCCTGTCTTTTCTTGAGTCATAGGTCTTGTGTGAGTTTACAAGTTTGGTTTTTAAGATTCCCTTGGATAATTTTGTCCTCTCTATGTATATGTTTTAGAATAATTTGTCCCTTTCTGCCATGTAGAATGTCAGTTGAGCTACCATTGAATCCATGTGTCACTGCAGGGAGAACAGCAAGTCAGTTTAGGGAGAGCTAACATTCTGAGTCATCCCACCCTGTAAGTGCTACAGATTTTTTTTTTTTTTAAATTTTAGGACAAGGTCTATAGAGTATACAGGGTTTCACTACTTAGATTGGACTTGTAGTGATTCTCCTGTTTTCAGCCTACCAAACACAAGGATTACAGGCATGAGGTACCATGCCCAGTCTCAATTTAGCTTTATTCTTAGCAGATGGGTGATAGATACAGAAATTTTAAGGATCACTTTGTAGATAAAATTTTCTCATGACATATGCTTCAAAACATACCCTAAAGCAGGTATTTCTAAATAGTTTACGGTTAAGCTGTCTAGTTTCCAGTCGTACCATTCTGCCTCAGCTTTCTTATTTCTGTTAGTCTTTCTGCCTTTTAATCTCTGATTTGTTCTTTAGGAGAATCTACTAAAACTTACATGATTTATCTGAACTGGAGAGATTCTACCCATTTTAAATAGCAAATCATACCAGATTTGTGATACAACATTAGGTTTATGGGTGAGGTGGGAACAGAAACAGGAGTCTTTGAGACAAGTTTTCACTACACGATTCAGGCTGGTGTTCAACTCACTTTGCAGACCAGTTTGGCCTCCAACTTGTAACAATCCTTCTGCCTTAGCTTCCCAGGTGCTAAATGCACCACTACACCTCGCCTCTTTCAAAACTTTATAAGAATTTGTTTCATTTCAATTAGTCTGCTATATACATGAAGATGGATTTTAGATTTCACATCCCCTCTAATCTTTTCATCTTTTTTGCCCATAGGAAACTCACATCATACATACCTTTAAAGAGGACTTCTATGGAGAAATCCTCAATGTGGCCATTGTTGGCTACCTCAGACCTGAAAAGAACTTTGATTCTTTAGGTAATTGACTACTTTGATATTAATATTTCTACTGTCGCAGCTATTGCTAGTAATACTGATAGTAGGACATACATTATTTGAGTACTTAATGTGTTCCAGGCACTGTTTTCAGTGTCTCATGTGAGTGAATTCCTTTATCCCCACAAGAACCATACGAAGAATTATTTTGCCCATATCACAGGTGAGAAAATTGACAAAGAGGTTAAGTAATTTGCCCAAAGTCACTGTCTTAATCTCTCTTTGTTGCTATGACTGAATGCAGGACGAGTGTTTGTCACATTTCTGTGGCTCATGTCCTGCATAGCTGTGGTGGCTCCACAGTCCAAGAGCCTGGATCTGGTGTCTGGGGAGGGCCTAGCTGCAGCATGAGAGCATCCCGGAGTAGGCAAGGTTAGAGTGACAGAAGCGCTGTGGTAAACTCACATTTCTAAGCAAGCCACTCGTGTTGCTTACGCTTGAAAAACAGGACAGAGCAACACTTGGCATTTACTCTGTCAGAGGGGTATGTTTTTAGGGGTACCTGAGCAAGAGGAGTTTCTCATTAACCGTGCTTGGTATGTTCTCTCTACAGAGTCACTTATTTCAGCCACTCAAGGGGACATTGAAGAAGCTAAGAAACGACTAGATTTGCCAGAATATTTGAAACTCAAAGATGATAATTTCTTCCAGCTTTCAAAAGGCAAAATTATGAATGGCCACTGATGGAAAATTACTGTTATTTATTCATTTACTGTTTTCTGTTATTTCACTGTTCATAATTATGCAGTCTCATCTTGGTTATATTTTAAAAATCAAATATTAATATTTGATTAATTCCTATAGCTGTCAGTTAACTTAAAGTACACAGTCATACAGTTATATACTTCAATTGTGAAATCCATCATGCTGGAGTGCTAAAAAAGCTTTTAAAAATCAAGAG